GACTCGCCTGCAAGATGAATGCTCTTAATCATTTCAGCTACAAAACCCTTCCTATTTTTTGCTATGTAGTATATCTCTTGAGTTATAAGCTTCCACTAATAGGAATTGTATTAAACATGTCTAGTTTAGTAAACAGTGATCTCAAGTTCAAACCACCCATGACACCTTGGTAGTGTATACGTGAGAAATTCCTTGTCTCTTTATAGTTTAGACTATCACTTGCATGGAGAACTTCAAAATAGAACCTAATGAATAACTGATATGGTCAAACAACATTAGAAAAAAAAAAATCCAAAACCAAAAATAGGAAAAGTAACAATAAGAACATCAAAATCATTTCACAATTTAATTATAAGAACATCCTTATAATTATTTTACATGAAAATAAAATCAATAATTCTTATTTAATGGACATATGACACATGAACCTTGCCATTTCATTGGAGGGGCCCACCACCCTGGTAAAATGCCATTTTACATGGGAGGAGGCGGAGGAGTTGCGTTTATCAAAAGTTGAGGCGCCCATTGGCATAACTTTTTGGAAATAATAAATCCAGAGAGAAAACTAATTAGAGTTAGGAAACGTAAGCTTGGGATTTGAACTTTTCTTTGTAAAATAATAAAACAAATTATTTTTTAATTATTTTATGGCAGGTTATAGCTTTAACAGCACAGCGCTAAGTTTGACTGCATTTTTTATCTCCCAACAACTTGTTTTTCAGAATTCCAAAACAAGTTATGATTTTCCCGGTCTTTCATACACCAAAAATAAAAAGCAAGAAACCGTATTTTCGATGACCAAATTGCCCTTTGGTTGTAGCTGTGATATACCATCAATGTCCTCTATGCGGTCCTGTGTGCTACCGGTATTACCCTTCCTTTTTCTTTTATAAGTTTCATTTGTTTTTTGTTTTTTGTTTTTTCCAAAGTGTGAAAGTTCTTTTGTTTTAGTGGCTATATTTGAATACATTCAAAATGTAACTTGAAATGAAAGCAAGGCTTTTATCGTTTTTCTTGGATCTTGCCTAAAAACAAATGATTTGCAAGATGTTTCTTGTACTTTTTATTTATTTTATTTCATTTAGTTTCGAAGTCAAACCAAAATGTTAAATTTGGAAAATTACCAATATATGTACTTTTTGAAGGAAGTATTGAGTTTAAAATGGCAAGATATTTATACATGATCAAATATCATGAAATTTTTTGGTCAATATGTTTTGATATTCACCCAAAAATAATGAAATTACAAATTAAGAAAAAAGAAAAAAAAAAAGGAGAAATTTATATATTGCCCTAAAATGAGAGGGGTAAAAGGGTAATCCCTACTCTCAAAGAGGGGAACAGAGTCTTATGGTAATTTTGTCTCATGAGAGGACAGTGGAGTCCAGACAAGAAAATCTGAATATAGCAGTTTCACAGTCCTTTTCTCCTCCATTAATGGAGGGAAGTTTGTATAAACTCTCACATCACCAAAGTTAAAAAAGCCCTCTTACAACCTTCTACTTCTGGCGCCATTTGCAGTCTAAACACTTTTGTTCAAAACTTCTCCAACCCCCAACCACACAGAACCAAAACCTACAATTCCTTCTCAAAGCTCAGCCTTCTGTTTTCTCCATGGAGGAAAAGGAGAGCACCTTCTCTGGGTCACCAGGCAACTCGGGGACCGAGTCACCGCCAGTGACTCAGATGGTGAATATGCCCATGGCCATAAACATGAGCTCAGAGATCATCAACAACAATAGCAACAACCCTGTTTCAACAACAACAACAACAACAGAAATTGCAGAAATTGCAGCAGCAGCAGCTACTGTTGGAAGTGGTGATTTGTCTGGGAAGAAGAAGAGAGGGAGGCCTAGGAAATATGATGCAGATGGGAACTTGAGATTGGGGTATAACAGTAATATCAACAAGGGTGGTGGTGTGGCCCCACCACCACCACCTGGGTTTTATCTTTCATCCCCTGCTTCTGAGTTTTCTTCTTCTTCGTCTTCCAAAAGAGGAAGGGGGAGGCCTCCTGGATCCGGCAACTGGCAGGTTCTTGCTTCTTTAGGTAAGTTATCAGAGGGAAGGAAGTACTGATAACAAAGTTTGAGATTTTGAGTGCTGAGTACTTCAATGGTGTGTGTGTGTGTGTTTTGGTGTTTCTTGTTTTCTCATTTTTTGCCAAGAAAATGCAGCAAAAAGGAAAGATATTTTGATTGGGTTAAGATAATGTGGTTGGTACTTGGTTTGGTTGCTTGTCTTTTGTGTTTTCCCCAGTTTTTGATGTGTAAAGCTCAACTTACCCACCTAAAAGAAGAAAAAATAAACTTTCTTTTTCCCTTAAAATAGGTAAATTGAAAGGGTAGCCATAATAATCACAACTCTCATTCTTTTTTCTTTTTCCTTCTTGTTTTTCTTCCATTTTTCCCATCAACCAAACAGGTTCTTTGTGGTTGAATACCTCATTTGGGTACTAGGAAAATCAGTCTCACTTATGGCTAGTAAAAGATCTGAATTTTCTGCTTGGGAATAAAACAAACAATAATGCTTTGTGGGGCTATTGGGATTTTTCTCTCCATTTCAATAGGGACAATTTATTGAGGTTCATAGCAGAAGAAAACCAGAAGTGGGGACAGATTTGGTCAAGTGGCATGTATAGATTTTGGTCTATAATTCCAAATTTGATGGTGTGAGCAACATTAACATAGTAATTTGTTGAGTTTTCCCACTTAAAAAGAGTCATAAACAAACAAGCTTTACAATTATCTTAAATTGGGCAATTTCTAATCTTTGCAATCTGATTTTGGCAGGTGAGTTGTTTGCAAACACAGCTGGTGGGGACTTCACACCGCATGTGGTTACTGTTAGCACTGGGGAGGTAATGTATGAGGATCTTTCAACAGATCCTGAATGTGCTTTTGGGTTGCATTGCATGAGCTGACAAAGGGTCCAAATTTTTTTTGACATGCAGGATGTTGCAGGCAAAATTCTTTCGTTTTCTCAGAAGGGTCCTCGAGGAATTTGTGTTCTCTCTGCCAATGGAGCTGTCTCTAACGTCACCATTCGCCAACCAGGTTCTTCTGGCGGCATTCTGACATATGAGGTATGTTTTCGGATTTTCTTTTGCTCTTTCTGTCAACATCATTTGGCCTTTTTCGGTTTTATTTTTGGTTGCAATTGCTTACAAGTAAATCTGTCTTAGAATTATATATATTTTTAATAATTATTTTAATTTCCTTTTTTTTGGCACTAAAATAATACACTGACTCAAAGAATTTCTAGATTGTTGATCTGGTTTTCAGTATGTAAGTGACTAAGAACAAAGTTACTGCTTTCTGAAAACGACTGATAATCTTTAAATCTGTCTTACAATTTTGTTTGTTTGTTTGTTTTATTTCCTTTTTTTCCGCACTAAAATAATATACTGACTCAAAGAATTTCTAGATTGTTGATCTGGTCTTCAGTCTGTAAGTAACTCCCGTTTGGTATTTGCTTATTTGGGGTGATAAGTGATTTTTTAAAAATTTTGGGAAGCCCAACTCGTTTGGTAAACTATAAGAAAATCACTTATTGTTAAAAATTGCTGTGAGAGAAAGCTATTTGGGAAAGCAGCTAATAAGGTGCTTTCATTTTCTGATTATACATGAATCAGTTTCAAAGAGGCTCTGGGTTTAATTATTATGCATCAATATTTTTTTTGATTATACGGGAATCCATACCAACTACACTTCTAACAAAAAATTTACCAAAAGCCAAACTGTGTTCTCTCATGGCTGATTTCTCTCATAGCAAATCTTACAGCGATTATTTTCACAGCACAGCAATGCCAAATCTGACAAAGTTACTGCTTTCTGCTATTTGGTGCTGTTTTTCTACAGCTGATATGCTAATTTTGTATGTCATCATGGGGTTAGATTTATTTAGCACTCTTCTTAAATATGAAACCTTGTTGCAGGGCCGCTTTGAGTTATTGTCTTTATCTGGGTCATTTACAGTCACCGAGGTTGGTGGTGTAAGAAATAGGACTGGTGGCCTGAGCGTCTCATTGGCCGGCCCCGATGGTCGCGTTATAGGTGGTGGCATTGCTGGTTTGCTAACAGCTGCAAGCCCTATCCAAGTAAGGCCTTTTTTCCACATTTCCATTTGAATTGCTTGGGAAAAACCCATGTCTGTTGATCCCCTCTTTTGTTGAACAACCGAACAGGCACAATCAACATTTAATTGTGTTATAGTTTACCACAAGGAATAAGCAGTTTAACTAAACCAGTTCTTTTGTCTCAAAACAATTGAAATGAAAATCAAATCCGTTTTATTAACTCATTGACAGAATTGTGTTCTGATTAATATGTCAGATTGTGGTTGGGAGCTTCACGCCAAATGGATACAAGGCACATAAAAGGAAGCATTATCGTGAGAACAATGTAGCTTCACCAATCTCAGGTTCTCTAGATACAGTCACAGCAGCAACACCCATTTCGCAAGCGCAACCCGAAAGTGAGAGCAGATTGACCGCGATATCCCCTTTACCAGCACAAAGTCATGGGGAAGCAGATAAAATCATGATCCAAATGCAGACCTCCAATGCCATATCCACTAGTGCTGTTTGGAATGGAACAGGGCTCAAGTCAGAACATAGGCCATCACCTGACATTAATGTATCCGTTCCTGGTGTATCAGTAACTGGGGAATAAGGTATGATCCAATCATCCCTTCCATAAAAAATGAGTGTGTTGTATAAGACAAAAGGCTGAACGTTTTTACCTGAATCTCATATCTTATGCCTGCAGCTTGATGAATGCTTAACTGCAGATGTACTTAAAGTAAGACAGGATGCAGCATCAGACTAATCATTTTTTATTATTGCTGTTGTAACATTATGATTTAGTGACGGAATTGGACAATTTCAGCATTAGATTGTAACAAAATAGTGACATATGCAGCATCAATTTTAGCTTCTTAAACAATTATCGATTGAATATTTCTCAGTAAATTTTAGTTATTTGACATGGATTCTGTGCTTAAAACAAACTTGCATGCATGCATTAAATCAAAACAGAGCTACATTAATAGAACGTTCGAAAGCACAAGACACACTGCCGCTAAACAAGGCCAAATTTAGTTCAAAATTCAAAATCAACAACTGAAATAATTAAACAACATAACCCTTCATCACAGTGGAATTTTTTTTTTTTTGGCAGCTGCTCAATCCTTCTGAAAACGACTGATAATCTTTGAATAGTAACCCCAATCAGAATGGGCAGTAGTTACTGCAGGCTGGCCAAATGGATGCTCCTTAACATAAGAAGGAACATCATCTGCATCTGCCAGTCCATCCAAATAAAGCCTCAACTCACCCTTGGGACCTAATGACAACAATTAGAAAAGTAAACCCCTTGAGTAAATGAGAAATCTAGAGACCAAGGAATGACCATGATTAAATTCAACTCACCTAAAGCCATGTCATCAACTTGGTCAACCTTGTATTCAGCAGGACAGATAGCTGTGTGAGGCTGCAGAGGAAACAAATCCAAAAATTAAACACAGAAAAGTCTCAGATTTTTACAAGAAAATGGCAGTAAGCATAATATATTACAGGGTTTAGCAGGGCCTTGTAAGGCTGGTTATCCATCAACAGTGTGTTTGATGAAGAATATTTCCCAGTAGATGAAGATCTGGTTTTGGAGCACTTACTTTCCCATACCTTCTTCAACTCCTTCAGAAAGAGAGGCTTGTCTCTCTTCTCCAAGGTCTTGAACCCAGAATCAGTGCATTTAACTTGATCCTAAAGAAAGCAAAAACATAACAAAAAATGTTTGAAACTTCCAGAAAATAACCTTTATCAATGTCTAGAAATCGGACAGAAGCATTCGAAGGTGAAGAGTACAGTATTTACTTACCCAAGCAAATACCAGTTTACTTCTCAGTCCTTTCATCACACAATCCAAGGCATTGTCCAAATACCATCTGTTAATCAAATAAAAGACCAGAAACAATAGGGCATCAAGTAAGGAAACAAATCTCGCTAAGCAAATTTGGGTGTAGACTGTAGAGTTGCATACTCCTTTGCAGAAGACCATATTCCAACATCAAATCTTTCTAAACAGAATTTCATAAAATCTTCACAGTGTGGCCTTTTGTAAACTGTGTAAGAGAAGAGCCAAAAAAAGAAAAAAAAGAATAGATTTTCAGTGAGGAACAAAATTCTAATTTGCTAACATGTTAGAAGAAAAACAAATTGTGAGATACCCCGAAAGCTTCCATATGATGCATCAACATAGCGGAAGCTTGGTATTTTGGCTCTTTCGTAGCGGTGTACCCTATGACAAAGCAACCCTCCAAGGCTAAGAACAATAAGCTTCTTTCTTGGACCAAGGTTCAGTTTCTCCAAAGGGAGGCTACATTCTTCGGCTTCACTACTATTGTTACCAGAACATTCAACTTTGCCCTTCAACTTTTCTGACATCTTTGGCATGCATGCACCATGGAAAGACAAAAAAATGTATATATATCCGGATCAGAGGACACAGGAAAAACTTAAATTTTGACACACTTCTTTAAAGGTTAAGCAAATACTTGAAAGAAAGCAATAAAGAAAGCATAAATTTCTTTAGTAAATGCTTAACCTTCAGATCTATTATCATCTAACGGTTGAAATGCTTTTAGAGAAAGCACCAAGGAAAGACAAAACTATGTATATAGGGTCAGAATCAGGGAAAAAAAGAAGATAAATTTTGACGCACTTCTTATCCCGTAGATTTATTATCATCTGAAATGCTTTTAGTACTAAAGAAAGCAACTTCTTTTATTATTTTATTGATAGCACCCATAGCAGTAGTTGATTTATAGATTAGATGAGATTTATGAGAGCCTTTTTATCAGTTTGTTGACTCTTTTTAAGTCTTGTTCATAACTATTGAATGGGTGGCTTTCCAAGCTTCATGCTTATGGGGTTATGAATCATACTTATTGAGCTCGACAACGACACTATCCTAACCCTTAATCCATGGCTTTAATCACAAACTTATCTTAAACATTCTCTGAGTTTTTTAAGGGAAAAAAGTCTTTGTTGTCGCCCCCCTTGGGGGTTGTCGGCCTCCTTTCCTACCTCCTCTCCTTTCCTTTCATCCCTTATTTTCTCCTTCCCTTATTTTTTCCTCAAGATTGCTAGTTTATGTTGTGATGTGGAACCAGTCGCCGTGAAACGATGTTGTCGCCTTGATATAGTTACCATATTTTGGCCTACGTACACAAGGAGTTGGCTTCCTTCGACATAGTTTGGAGCTCTAAAGAGGGGAAGAGGCTTGGTTGTGTTGGGTTCGGGTTTAGCCAGTGCAGGACTATGGCTTTAGCCGGTATGGTGCTATGATTTTCTTCGGGTTGCCTGAAAGATGTGGAGCGGTGGTCTTGTTTCTTAGTTTTGTTTTAAACTAATAATTTTCAGAAACTCTTTAGGAGTTTGCTGTGATTTGTTTTCTATTTAAGATTTTTATTTATTTTTAGCTTTTGGCTTTAAATATGGATAGCACTGCAGATTTGTATAGTAGGTCTGAGTACATGTGCTTCTGGTTGCTAGATCGGGGATTTAGTCATTGTTTGGGCTACGCGTGATTCTCTCTAGATAAATTCAACAAGTTGTTGCGTTTGGTCACTGGAGAAGATTTACCCACATTCGGCACATAGTTACTTTCTACTTTTGTTTGTTCATTAATAATATACTATTGCTTATTTTCAAAAATCACAAACTTATCTGATTGTCATTTCACTAGCAGTAGCAAAGCAAACTAAACACTATAAATTGTACTTTGTTGACCATATGAGCCCGTTTGGTTCGCGGATTGAACTTCCCATGAGATGGGAATAGAGAATGTTCATTCCCATGTTTCCTATATTTGGAAACATTGGGAAATGAGGATCATGAAATGTCATTTTATCTCATTCCCATGTTTGGTTTGTACAACATTACAATTGAAAATTTGTTTAGTTTTTCAATAATAACTTAACTTTTTTTTAATTAAAAATAAATAAACACGAAGAGTTTTTTTAAACATGTTATTTTAAAAATAGAACAAGGGTAACGTAGTCATAAAAAAAATTGCATTAATATTTGGATTAATTACACTTTAGTACCTTGTTGTTACAACCTTAAGACATGTTAGTTTCTACCTTCTCAATTTTTACAATAACATACCTCATACTTCTAAATTTGTTACAATGTGGTTCCGCTGTTAGGGTTTCTGTTAGATCTCTCCGTTAGTTGCCTTGTGGCATTGTGGGTCCCACAATTTTCAATTTTTGTTAATTTAAATTGATTAAAATATGAATAAAAAATTAAAACAAAAAAAAAACCAAATTTTAAAAAAATAAAAATAAAAAGAATAGATTTTCAGCGAGGAACAAAATTCTAATTTGCTAACAAGTTAGAAGAAAAACAAATTGTGTGATACCATGAAAGCTTCCATATGATGCATCAACATAGCGAAAGCTTGGTATATTGGCTCTTTCTCTTTCGTAGCGGTATAATGATATGCAAATGCAAAAGAGACACTGCTGCTGCTAAAAAGGCCAAGATTTTAGTTAAAAGCAGAACATATCCAACAAATCCCTGGACAACAAAATCACTTAAACCACTCCAGCTTCATAACAATGGAGTTCTTTTTTCTTCTTTTTTTTCTGCAACAGCTCAATCCTTCTGAAAATGACTGATAATATTTGAATAGAAATCCCAATCAGCATGAGCACTAGTTATTGCAGGCTGGCCAATTGGATGCTCTTCAACATAAGAAGTAACATCATCTGCATCTGCCAGTCCTTCCAAGTAAAGCCTTAACTCACCCTTAGGGCCTAATGAAACAATTAAAAGGTAACCCCTGTGAATAAAGGAGAAAGCAATTTTTCTCAAGACAATTAAATCCTACTCACCTAAAGCCATGTCATCAACTTGGTCAACTTTGAATTCAGCAGGACAAATGGATGTGTGAGGCTGCAGAGAAAACAAATCCAATAATTAAACATAAAACAATCTGATGAGATGAGATGAGATGTTCATCAGAAAACAGCACTAAAGCATAACATAAATTACAGGGTTTAGCAGAGCCTTGTAAGGAGTTGTTATTAATAGTGTGTTGGTTGAAGAATACTGCACAATCCAAGATGGAAGGGTGGCTTTGGAACCCTTGTTTTCCCATATTTTCTTCAACTCCTTCAGTAAGATAGGCTTGTCTCTCTTCTCCAAGGCCTTGAACCCAGAATCAGTACATTCAGCTTGATCCTGACCCCAAAAAAAAAAAATCAAAACATCACACATAAAAACCTCAAAACTAGTAAATGACTAGTGTAGTGGTTTTGAGTCTTAGCATTTGTGTATTTTGTGTGAGTTTAATATATTATCGCCCCTCTTAATAGAAAAGGTCCTAAAAAGGACAAAAAAACCTCAAAACTTTGAACAACTTACCAATATATTATTCTGGAAATGAATAAAAGCATTAGAAGAACAAGAGCATGATATGTACTTACCCAAGCAAATACCAATTTTCTCCTCAATCCCTTCATTACACAATCCAAGGCGCTGTCCATGTACCATCTGTCACAAAAACACCAGAAACAAATAAACCACTCCAATTTGGGAAATTAAGGCATGATGCAAAACGATTCATTTTAAATCGAAATGGGAAAAGTGGGGTAAGAGTTACACACTCCCTTGCAGAAGACCATATTCCTACTTCAAATCTTTCCAAGCAAAATTTCATAAAATCTTCACAGTAAGGCCTCTTGTACACTGAAAAAGATAGAGAAAAACGAAGAGGTTGTCATGAGCAAAAGTTGAACTTCCTACAAACTTAAAAAAGAAGAAGAAAAATATGTACAAGAATTTTAATACCGTAAAAGTTTCCATATGCAGCATCTGGACGGCGGAATTTCGGTATGCCGGATTTTTCACAGCGGTATACCCTATGACAGAGCAATCCTCCAACACCAAGAATAAGAAGCTTCTTCCTTGGACCAAGGTTCAGTTTCTCCAAAGGGAGGCCACATTCTTTGGCTTCACTACTATTGTTACCAGAACATTCAACTTTGCTCTTCAACTTTTGTGACATCTTTGGCATGCATGCACCATAGAAAGACAAAAATATGTAAATATCAAGATCGGAGAACACACAAACAACATAAATTTCGACACACTTCATTAAAGGTTAAGGAAATACTTGAAAGAAAGCAATAAAGCAAGCATAAATTTCTTTATCGTTTAACGGTGGAAATGCTTTTAGAAAAAGCAACTTGAATTTTTTTATTTTATACAAGCGATATTCAAACATAGTACGAGATGAGATTTATGAGAGCCTTTATCAGTTGTTGACCACTTTTTTAGTCTTTTTCATAACTATTGAACGGGTGGCATTCCAAGCTTCATGAGTAGGGAGCATTTTTGCTGATCACATTAACCAAAGGTGTATGCTCACTACCACCCTTAAAATGATGACACATGTCTCATAATTAACCTTAGTTAATTTTTATGTGAGAATAAATTAAAAAAATCGAAAAAGGGCCCACATCACAACACACTCCCCCTTTTTCTTCTTTCCCTCTTCCTTTTATTTTATTTAAAAATAAAAATAAAAAATAAAAAATATTTATCGAGCTCGACAACTACTTTATATCTTCCTAAAAGTAAAAGTATTTACTTTAACCCCTCACACTTCAATGGCTTTTTTTTTTGATGAAGAAAAAGGGGGAAACCCCAAGCACCAACACAGCAACTAACTAGAACTAATCAGGCGGGACTTAACAGTTCCCAAAGAATCATTAAGCAATAAAAAATCAAGCCAAGCAGGGCTCTCCTCAAGATAGTAACAGCCTAGATCCAAATTGTGACTCCAAGTAGCCAACCCGTCAGCTACATCATTCATCTCTCTATAGATATGTTGAAGCTTGATCCTTCGAAACAAGTTCATAAGTCTTTTACAGCTACTAATCAGCCCTGCATTAGGATGACAAGCATTCAAAATCTTACTCTGAACAAGAAGCACCGCAGTCTCAGAATCCATCTCAATAACAATATCCTCTACTTTTTTCTCAACAGCCAAGTTCATCCCAAAAAATAGCCCCCACAACTCAGCTTCAAGAACTTCTCCCTGGCCTGAGTTGACAGCAAATCCACCAATCCACTGACCCAAATGATCCCTCAAGACACCTCCAGCACCAATGGCACCAGTACTGTTCATGCGAGATCCATCGACATTTAACTTGATCACACCAATTTCAGGAGGAACCCAAGCCAACAACACTTGCACCTTATTAGCTCCCCTATTATTACCAGCAATGGCTTGAAACCAATCCTTTGCAGCAGTAAAGATAAAATCTTTGGGATTGAAAGGCAAGTCAGTATTATCTTTAAAAATAAAGTCATTTCTCCATTTCCAAATATACCAGCAAATGAAAATAAACATAATTCTCCATGGAATCTGAGCAAAGTGAGCCTTGGAACACAAATTGCTTAATAGCCAAGGGTGAAAATCAGATTGGAAAAAAGGTCTAGCATGCGTAGAGTTCATAAATAGATTCCATACCTTTCTTGCTCTAGAACAATCTCTTAAGATGTGCAAGGTAGATTCAATAGGCCACTTACAGTAATCGCAGGCACCGTTTCCAGTGAGATGCCTTCGAACTCGCTGCTCATTGGAGAGAATTTTCCCCTGAAAAACCAGCCACAAGAAAACTTGGAAATAGTAAAGATTGGAAATAACTATTACATCAATTGCAAGTTTGTACTACAAAAACACACCACCTAATATTTTTATAAAAATAAATAGTTTGAAGAGCCCAAATTCACTAGCCTAATCTGAAAAATGGAAGATATAATAACTAAGTTTGAAAATACTAATAAAGAGAGTTTTGCAGACACCAATTCAAGCATTACAAAGTATCCGAAGGCTACGTTTGTGGCATGTTTACTAATCCGGAATTGAATTAGGGGGAATTGAATTGAGGATGAATTGAATTGAGGAGGAGTTGGATTGAGGAGAATTAGATTCCGGATTCCTAATGAAGTTGTTTACTAAACCATACGGATTGAGGGGAGTTAGATTCCGAATTCCTATTGAAGTTGTTTACTAAATCATATGGAATTGGGGTAGGAGTGGTACTAATTACTAAAATGTCCACATTTTTTGGTTAAAGTAGATGGCATATTTGGAATTTTGAAAATTGTGTGAGGATATAATGGGTAAAAAAGATGAATTCCTAATGGGTGAATTCTCCAGGAATTAGAATACCACCTCCAATTCCGGAATTGAATTCCTCCAAAATCATGAATTCAATTCCTAATTTTGTGTGGGCCCCGCTTACTTTTCAATTCCTTAATGTGAAGTAAACGCATGAATTCTCCATAGGCGGAATTCAATTCCGGATGAGAATTCCAATTCCGGATTAGTAAACATGCCATTGGTTCATTGGAAAGAAGGCTTGAGGATGGGAAATCAATTACTTTCCCATAGTTGGTAAATCCATGCATGAAAAATGGTTGTCTGACACAAAGGAAAATAGGGGGGGAAATGTAACCCTCCTCCTCCCTTGGGTTTCATTTTCCCTTTCTCATGAGAAAGTTTAATAAAACGGGCTAATGTTAAATGCACATTTTTCATGATCATTTTGTCCCCTTAAGTTCGGTAAAAATGGGCATCAAGTACATTTTTTATTGGAGAAGGCCTAACACTGGTGAAAAGCCAAAAATAAGAAAAACAGCTTTTAGATTAAGTAACTAATAGAAATTAACTTTTACATGCACAATATTTCTCTCCCACATTACCTAATGCCGTGTCATCATCATTGTCAGCGTTATATGACTCCAAAAATGTCAATGTGTCAAAGAAATAAATTTAGAAAGATTATTGAAAAACAAAAAAACACAATAAAAAAAGAGAAGGGGCAGAGTTGTGATGAAATTACAGGATTTAAAAGGGCCTTGTAAGGTTGATCATCAATAAACAGTGTGTCTGATTCCGAATACTTCCCATCAAAATGTTTCCGCAGTTTTCCCAGTTCTTTGAAAAACAGAGGCTTCCTTTTATTCTCCAGCTACTTGAACCCAGAATCAGTGCGTTCATTTTGATCCTATTGAGAAAAAAAATATTAGTAAAATTGTGCTGTCTATATGGCTCAGTGATGTAAATATTTTGCATTGAACTGTTTCAACTTACCCAGACAAACAACAGTTTCTCTTCTCTCTCAGCCTACCCATCAAACAACCCAAGAAACCATCAACATTTTTCCTGGCAATCAATCAGAAGAAGAAAAACATTATCAAAATGTTTTAAAATATCAACTTTGAAGAGGTTAAGTATATTCAAAGAAACAGAGACTCTTGGGCAGAGCTCCAAATTCCAACTTCAAATCTTTCGAGGCAGAACTGCATGAACTCTTCAACAGAAGGTCATTTAAAGACTGCATCAACAATGAAGAAGAGAGTGAAAGCCCACAGTCGCTTTCATCACTGCCACATGAAGCACTATTTTCATCATGATCATAATCATTGTCATGGCAAACAAGCTTGTTTCTGAGGTTCTTTCAGCCATAATTCAAACTATTCAATGCTCGAAAACTTGTGCTGAGTAAAAACATCGCCAATTTATAGTAGAGCAAGAAAGGCCGCTAGACTCTCATCAACTTCTGTGTTCCAAACTTCCAAGGTTCATTTTATTGGGAACTGAAAAGAACACCCTTCAAATTCTTTACTAGGTTAGTTTTCTGCCTTTGGACACAGTAGCGTCGTTTTGTAATACTATACTAGGGGTCAAAGATATTCAAAGAAATGTTAATGGCGTCGCTTGGGAGTCGCAACTCTTGCATACAGTTCTCAATACAATAACTCTTCATTTCTCATCAAAGCAAATAACTGGACCAGCACAAGAGGGATGATGAGAAATGCTCTCTTGTGAAACTCTCATGTAACATAGAGAATGTTTACATTGTCATTGTGAATCTGGATCGTTGATCTCATGTTGATTTTTGCTAGAATGTGTGTGGTTCAAATTCAATAGGACATAGTTAAGTTCGGCACAAGGGGTTTGTAACTCAAATCAAATAATTAAGAACAATTATAAGTTTTGCAAAAAATAAAAACATGACTCGGAATGATAATTATGAGATGAACAAGCGCCCTTCTTTTACGTATGCATTCAATTCAACTTGAGTCAAAGATTTATTAGAACTAGGCCCAAGTTGCAGTCTTTTGAATAATTTGGGCTTGTTCAAATTGAATCCATGAATAACCATCACACACACAAGTCCAAATTGAATCCATGCAGAACCTTCTCAGAGTTACCAGAACAAAACGTGGGAATCTGCCATACCACCACACGGCAGAAGCTCCTAGCAACACCTTTTTCAAACGCCCAATACCTTTCCAGCGCCTTCTAGCTCTCTCTTTGTGCTTATCTCATATCTTATATAACAAACACGGAGACTTGGGTCTCCTCCATTACAAAACGACAAACACTTTGAGTGCAAAAAAGGCAATGAAGCCCATCGAAGCCAAGAAAGACACGGTGACGGTCCGAGCGGTGAGCCAGGACGAGGAGGGTCGAAAGAGAGTGGAGAAGACGGAGCTCCACACCCACAACGTCGACACAATCAAGTACATCGAGAAGAAGCTCGTCGACAAAGGCGTGCAGCGCCTCGAGCGCCACCCGAGAGACGGGACTGGGATCGGGCAGCCGCCGCCGAAGTCCGGCCACGGGGGCAAGTACACGTGGGAGGGGCCTGATGACGTGGCGGAGAATGAGATGGACCCGGTCCCACCGGCTATTGATGAAGGGGACCCAAACTACGTGGACGAGGTGGCGGAGGAGAGGATCGTGAAGGGGGAGGATGCTGACGTGGCGGGGTTGGTGGTGGGGAAGGTTGAGGTGGCTAAGGTTGCTGAGAACAGGGAGGGGGTTGCTAGGGTTGAGGTGGTTCCTCCTCACCTCCACCTCGAAACTTAGTTGATTTCTAACTCCCACCAGAAGTGATGTGGTTTTGTTGACCCAAAAAAATAAAATAATAATAATCATGTATGCTGTGTTTAAATTTGGTCTTTGGTGATCTTTTTTGTACCTATGACATGTAATGTTTGGATATAAGTTAACCACTTCCTCCAAAATTTGCACTTCTTTTTGCCTAATGCATGTTACATTACTTGCCCCTACCCTACCAAACAGAGGCTTGGGGGGAAAAAAAAAACCCAGTTCCAACGAGGAGCCCAAGCCCGGGCTGGGAGTGGGACCCATGAAAGACGGGCTGGCCTGACGGTCAGTTTTGCCCGAGGGCTGACGACGTCAGCTCAAGCTCCAGCCTATAGAAGACAGGTGTCAAGGCCTGGGCGCTCCGATTTGCTTCTCCTCCTTCAATCCAACGGCTAGCATTTTTTTGGCAATAAAATTATGAAAAAAAATTGAATTTTTTTTTAAAAAAACCAAAATATTCTGAGTAAATGTCTTTCAAGATCTTATTTTCATTTTCAACATTTAAGTAAATGTCTTTGTCCTTTTACTTTTATTTATTTTTATATTACTTCATTTACTTAAGTTTACAATGTAAATAAGGAAGTACCCCCCATTTGGATTCAAATAAAAATACTAGAAAATCAAATTCTCACCAAATTAAAATATGAAAAATCGGTTTTAGTGCAAAATACGATTTAGGCAAAAAATGATGGCTCATTAAGTCAATATATATTTCATACTAAAATCCCATAAAATCAAGTTTTCTTATTTGATGTGTAAGGAACAAAAGCCGCCAAAAATTATCTTGAGAAAATGATTATTCCTAAAAATCATTTTTCATACTTAGTCAATATTGCACATCCGCTAAAAAATTTCTGGGTCTGCCAGTGCACGTAGGAACCCGAAAATATTATCCAAATTAATTATTGAGGTAAAAAAATTTGTGAAAAAAAAACAAAAAAATGAATAGTAATTACCCCTTGCCATGGCAACGGGTGGAAACACACAATACTATTTGCAAGGTCAACAACTATTCACGTGAATAGTGCCTGCCCTAGCCCCCCTCTTGCCATGGCAAGGGGCAAATGGGTGGAGTTGCTCTTAGAGGTGGTTAAGAAGCCGGAAGCTGCTTAAATCGAAGCAAAGTACTCGGGAAACTGCCATAAGTTCCATCTAATTGCTTATTTTAGCTTTATTTTATCTTTATACTCAGCGACGGACCCAAGAATTTTTCAGCGAAGGTACAATTTATAAAAGCTAAGAGCTCCACAAAAAAAAAAACCTAACCATCCTTATAATTTAAACAATACTAATGTTATTCATAATTAATTTAAAAAAATAACAGTACAATTAACCTACAATTGTTACTGACGAGGTTTCATATCATGAAAACGTCGCATTATATTTGCATTACTAATACAAGAAAAAACATTTTTCCTAATGTAAACAATCAATCTATCACTCAACCATTGATTCCTTATTTTGTTACATAATGGTGTTTTCACAATATTCATAGCTGAAAAAGCTCTCTCAACTGAAGCAGTTGCAACGGGTAAAACTAAAGCCAATGTAAGAAGTAAATAGTACATAGTTGTATATTCTACTCCTTCCTGTATTCACCAATTTTTCTGCCAGATCAGTAATTCCGTTCAATGATGAAAGCTCAGTGCTGCTCTGCATATCAACAATATAAAGCCCAAATTAATCTTTAAGCTTCATGAGGTCTCGGTCATTAAATTATTGAGGGTAAAATTTATCAAAACAAAGTATTTTTTGTTTGTCAAAAGCTGCAAAATTATAAGTCGGACTCAAACATGCCATACAAAGAAGCAATTCAGTATTTACCTCAGTGGAAGCGATTATTCAATTCCACTAGTTGCTTATCAATGATAGTAAGAAATAAGTCCACACGATAATAATGGCGGTTTGTGATTTTCTGAGCTTTATTTCTTGATCTCCCTTGTGGTACAAATAAATCATCCATGTTAGGAACGTCAATATCATTGTTGCCACAAAATATTGACACTTCGCCAAGCAAATCATCAAAGTCATCATCCCTCACGGATTATAGCTTTTGCTTACATCTTTGGACCAACATCATTGCATTTACAATATCTTGATATTTCTTTTGTAATGTCTTTGACAAATCATTTGTGATTCTCAGTATAAATCTCATCAAATATAGGTGAAACACAAAGTCAAAAGTTTGTATTTCTTTCAATAACCTATTTGCTTCACCTAAATTATCTTGGTTGATATCATCAACAATTCATTCAAGTACCTTCACCACGGGATGAAACATAATATTAATACTAAGTAAAGTATCATAATGTGAGTTCCAATTAAAACCCAATTAACTTAGGAATTATAGAAGCCCTTTGAAAAGCCCACGAAATGGCCCAACAGCTTCCCCTTTCTTTTAAAATAAAAAAATAAAAAAAACCTTAGTGCACAACGACGTCATTTTGGCCAGGTTATAAAAAAGAAAAAAAGCAGTGCCTTTTAAAAAGCCTGATCCAAAACGGTTTTGGCCAAGCTTCGTTATAAAAAAAAAAAAACAAGTGTGCGCGCGCTGGTCGCAGCGCCCAGTTGGTTTGAGCATTTCGTCGAACAGGTTGCGTGCGTCTCTAGTCTGAAGCGGAGGTGCAGGTGCACCTCCTTGCCCCTGCACAGTTCCGCCACTGTTTATACTTGGGCATTTTATTAGTAATCATCATTTATTATCATGTATGTTTTATCCTCCCACATGTTTGCTTCTGTTAGTTATCACCATGTATAATAATGTTTTATCCCAAACTTTCGCTTAAGAGAAATAAATGATCAAACTAAACTCCTCACTACATGTAGTGTTTTCAATAATGAGGGTGTTATTGAATTTTTTTGGGGTTTGGATTTATAAAATTGGTCCGAATCTAAGGGTTTTTTGAGCTTTGGACTTAAAATTTATTTTTGAGTTTGCTTGAGCTTTTGAGTTAGAATTTATTTTTGAGTTTATAAAATTAGATCAAAATAGGATACCAAACGGGCCTTAAGAGTTTAACATAAGCCGAAGCCAAGTTGAAATTCGAAATTTGGACTGTGTTTGATGAATCCAAATCCAAGTTGCCGATTGACCATTGGTTGTGTTTGTTCAAACTTCAGAATTCAGTTGGATTGTGTCCTTATTTGAAAGGGCGTGATGGGCTCTAAACACTTGTTTTGGGACCCAAAATGGAACAACCTTGATAAATAGGCTAATAACTACTTTCATGGAGGTTTTAAAAGTCACTCTGTCGAGAAATCTCTTAAATTCCATTTAAAGTAAGTATACGAAGAAGCACGGGATGAGATGTGTGCATCCCAAAATCACTTCCAAATATTGTAGAAATGTTGATGCACCATCCTTTTTATGAAGAATTCTGATCCCATTTCTGTTTTGTTCGATAGGCCAGTTTGTGCTTTCCCAGTCCCTTCAGTTTCTGTCTTGTTTCTAACCATTCTGATAAAGAATACACGAAGCTACGTTTGATCAGTAACATTATTATAATCCCAAGTCCACCAACAATCACATGAAACAAGCTAAACTATCACACCATGACTGCTATCTAACTTATGTTTAGAACGTTTAGCGGTCCCCCTACAACATGAGATTAATTATGTGTGAACCTAAATTGATGTAATTGCTTCTAACTTAATTACCTATCAAAATGGTGACCCTCACATCACAAACACGCACGTTTCATAATTCTAATATTATTAAGAACAGGTTGGTGAAGCATTACAACTTGTTGAACATGAAATTTTAATTAAAGACTAATGTCACATTATAGTCTTTTTATACAAATGTTTTATTTCCTAATTCTGTTTGGTAATGGATTATGATCATTGGTCATATTATATAAGTATTCCTTAATTACAAAACTTGTTATTAGCGGCTTGTTAATTAATAGCATAAAACGTGCCAAAACACTCTCCAACCTACCTAACCTATTTTTTTTTATACATATATATAAGATTCGTATGAATACGTCATTTCTTGTTTAGGCTTAATTCTCTCTATATCAATATTTTGTTGTGTTTGGTCACTGGAAATATTGTATCCATATTCGGTATTATAGCTATTTTGTACTCTGTTATGTTTCATCAATAATTACTATTATTTTTCCTATAAATAAAAAAACATTTGTATGAATCCCTAGAAAATTAAACGACAAAATGTGTTTTAAAAATATTTGAAACTTGTGGAAGTAGTACAAGGTTTCCTTGACCGCGAGTGATGGACTAACACATGTTTAGAGATGTTGTGGATCTGTCACCAAAATCGTACAATCATTTGAACTTGTTATTGAAGATTAAGAAAACCATCAAGATTAAATATTTTCCAACACAGACAGAACACAAAATGGATGACAGCGCAGGGCTTGAGTTGAAGAGATGATTTGATGGCTGGTTGATGAAAACGAATCATGCCTTTGGTTAAAAGGATAATTCTGTATGCATCTTATCATGCTGGCAAAAAAGGAAGTTCTAACGTTTCCAATGGTAACCATTGTCGGTTCCATGTGTTCTATGTTTGTAAGATTACCGACGCATGACCATAGCATATATACTTGTTTGTATTTTATAAATGTACTTACAGTTATGTTTTACAAGTATTCGTTTCAAACGTTAATTAACTGCGTGTTGAATTGGATGCATTAGTGTAAATGAGTAATTTTCTATTGTTAGTCGATTGTATGAAATTATGATATAGCCCGTTTGTCAACATAACACGTCATAATGTTCAAGTAATATACTTATTACTCGATAATTTATCATGTTATGCTATTGGATTATCAATTTGAATCATTAGTTGAGTGAATTCTTATTAAGATGCATGATGTAAGTTAATAAACAAAATCACCTATATCTGTATACTTGGATACGCCCATCTGTCTCATAATATTATGGCGGAAATGATTTGCATGCATCAGCAATTGGATTCTCAGCTGGCTTAGAAATGATAATTAGAATGATTAGCCATAAAGCATGTAAAAAAGTAATTAAAAGGATCCAAAGGGCAGATCTCAAAATCAACTCAAAAAAAGTTATGCACTAATTTAATATTTCAGCCACTCGTGTTCTGCCCTTAGCTACTTTGAGGACAATACGCTTAAAACTTTGGGGCCAAAAC